AATTGAAGCACGACGCCCCGGGCCTGTGCTCCTTTAATAGCAAGCGGCTCAAAAAAGCTCCATCTGATCAGTTGCATGCAACCACCAGAAACTCCAACCATGATTATAGAAGAGAGCGGTCAGCGGCGCGGTCGGTACTGCCAGCGTGCCTGACCAGCTGGTCCGCCTAACCAGCCGGCCCGCTGACCGCCGCCCTCGCGCCCCTGAAGGGGGTGCGAAACTCTCACTCCCCACCACCGAGATCCCCGCGGGCGACCGGTCAACGGTATACACGTAATTACCGAGGGAGCTCCAAACACGATCAATGACCCGTCAACTAGTGGAAGGTGAATGGAGGACTCACTCCATGCCCTTAACGTACAAACTTTCGACAGGGAACTCACCAACTGCCTCAAGTGATATGGCAATGAGTCGATTAATGTTGGCGTGAGCTGAGCTTGCCCACGCGCAGTCCATGCGGACGAGATCCATGCCAGCTGACCCTCTTATGTGTACATCACATGGTAAAACCGAACCAGGAAGCACACGACACGAAACTTATTACGCACATTGTTAACGTGATAGCATATGCTCGGCCAATCTGGGTCCCAGCTGGGTCCCAGGCACCAGCCAGCTTGCATCTCATGCTGACATGTGGCCAGCTTGCCCACCTGCGGCCCGTTTGGATCTGAGTCCATTCCAGTCATCCTTGTTGCAAACTAGTTTTCATACGATCAGAAAATATCCAGCCATGGAGAGCAAAGCACAAAAATAGACGCACAAGGTAAAAGATGTCAGCATATGGGCAGCCCACCTGGGTCCGACATGGATCCCAAAGACTAGCTCACCTGCGGCCCATGTTGGCATGAACCCAACTTACCCACCTGCATTCCATATAAATCCCAACCAGTGCTGCTCTCCTTTATGTATTCATTTTTACACGATAAGGAAGAATCCAACATGGGAACACAAAGTAGCACGCCTAATGCACCTGTCTCAAATACGGTAGTGCATGGGCAGCCCATCTGGGTCCCAAATGGACCCCAAATACCAGCCTACCTGCAACCTACATGGACATGAGCCCAGCTAGCCTGTGCTCAGTCCGTAAGGACCCCGGTCCAGGCAGGAGTCCCATGCTTTAAAGAAATTATACACGATATCGTAAAAGCTAAAGACAACGAAAGCGATTCATACACACACATCAACATTATGTATGTGGTAACTTTACTGCGTATGTAGCATATTGACAGCTCATCTGGGCCCTAGGTTAAGCCTAAATACCAGTCCATCTGCAGCCCACGTTGATATGAGCCTAGCTGGCCCACATATGGCCCATATGAACTCCACGAAAGTAAGCACTCATCTTCTCCTGAGTAAGTTCTTCTCGCCGTGCTGAATTCCGGTCTGACGGTACCGGGCACGGACATGTCTGATGCAAGCGAAAATATTCGGTTGGGGCCCAGTTAAAAGCTCTCCTGTAGCTCATGGCCACGTCAATAACCCAGTTGCCCCACGTTTAGCAAATGTGGGTCCCATTTGGGAATGCTAGCTGGGAACATATTTCTCGATTGGGGGCTGACGGGCCATTACGTCCCATTTCGTGCTGCCTACCGGCTACCATTCTGTATCACGTTGGCCGAACCCATAATCGATCCTCAGGTCCTCAGAGGGTTACATGACACGCTGGGTCCCTCCTCGACACCGAAGGCCCTATGGCCGGAACACCTAACACTGGATCGACGCAGGGACCCCTCAACAATATAAAAAGCTCCACTGGTCTCATGCGGGTCTCTGGCGTGCCGGATCCAATCAATAACAGAAGGACTATTTTTCGATTGTTTTGGCCCTAGATGAAATGGATGGAGGGCCCCTTCCGGTGCTGGGTCTCCTCACTGACATGGAGGCGTTCCATTGCCTCTCCGTGACCCTATTCATGTCTCCTTTTGTTGCCAGAGGGTCTCGACCAACGCAAGATGCCTTCTGGCATTTGGTGTCCCTGTCCCGCCCCTATCTCTCTGATTATTCAGAGGAAAGTGCCACCGGTCAAGGGCTCCTCAACAACTCGAGTAGCCTCTCAGTGGCCCTAAACGCCCTGAACAGCTAAACAGCCTATGAGCGAATAGAGAACCGTTAGTACACACAGCGGCAAAAGAGCCCTCGACTACTTCCGAGGTTCACTTGGTATTCTGAAGGGACTGAAAAGCCGGAAAACCCTACGAGCCTATAAAGGCGGTATCCCTTGGTATCCAAGAGAGCCCACTGATCGGCCGGAGGGAGCCGAAGTTGCCACATGTGTTACTGAGCATCTAAAGGAAGCAAATGGTCACTCTGCACCTTTATTCTGCGAAAGACACTAAACTGGAGTGTTTTCATTCAGCACGCTCACTTTTGATGGAGCTGCGTGAGCCGAGTACGACCCTCCCAACGGGCCCTTAAATCTACCCGACCCCCACAGATTTTTGGCTTTTTGTAGCCGGGGGGGGGGGGGGGGTCCATCCTCAACCTCACGGGATTTCCAGCCATGTAGACATTCGACTGGGCTGTGAGTTGTTCGAGGGAAAAGAAGCTCGCCATGCCTCTTTGTGGAACGGGCCAATGTAGCATTTCATGAGGGTGAAAGGCACAAATATTGCGATCGCCGAGATTTTGGCTCCCCTCCAAATCAGAGTTTTAGCACTATCTTTATTTTGGCCTGTTTGGATATAGTGCCTCTTGAGCATACGGGCTATGGTGCCCTAAAATGGCAGCATTGTGTACCTCCTACCCCATGGTGCCAAGCCAACACCAAGCCAAGCCAAGCCAACATTTCACTGGGGTGGAGAGCACACCATTGTTGTGTTCTCTGCCACCTATCGTGGTGCCCTTGGTCTTCGGTGCCCGTCGAAAATGAAAATTAGGGGCCATTTGCGGTGCCCCTGAAACTCGATGGGTCTTAAAAAATAGAGGCTATGTGAGTCTGAAGTTAAGATTTTGGTGCCTCCTGACCATGAGATTATGGTGCCCTTTGGGCGCAAGGAGGGGCCTCACGCCCCCCGCCCCCCTTCCGCCTCCGGATCCGTCACTGGCTGGTGTGTACCTGCATCATAAACATAACCTCGCACGAAATGAGCGTTAAAGTGGAAAATGTTTCCCAAAGCCAACTTGTCCTCCGAATATTCACTAAGCGAAACGCCTTGGGGGAAACCAAAGCAATGGTGCAACATTTCGTTGGAATTGCGTGGGCTGACCTTATTAAACGGTTATCAAAACTATTATGTCTTATTTAAATACTTCCCCAAATAGCTGGTTTCAAACTCTCGTACGGTTCATCGAGCAAACATTTTGGCCAGTGGATGTACTGAGGATATCACGTATAGCACACATGTTGGAAAAAGCCGAACAAATACAAACTTTACTCTCATAGCGGTGAGGAGGGAGTTCGATGACATTGCTCTCGTCGAAAGCTTGTATGTAAGGCATCAGAAAAAACTTATGTTCTAGCCAGTGAATGTTTGCGTAGTTTGGCGAACGCCGCTTTGAGGTGCTCGCGTTTCTCTCCTCCTGCCCCAGGCGCCCTGTGCGAGAGACGCGACCGCGGAGCCCAGGGGAGCAGGACGCGGTAGCAGAAGACTCGGAGAGCCGCCGGCGCCAGGACGGACGCGCCGGCGGAGCGAACTGTATGGAGTGCCTGGGACGCGCACCAAATACAGAAGTGGCTTTGAACGTACCGTGTGTGCCAAAGAGCCGAAGGCGAAACACGCGAACGGAATATTTTACTTAGACTTCAAATCAAAATTCTGAGCCATTGAGAGGACTTGTAGAAAACTGATGATTCCGATCAAATCGGACCCGTCTGATTTCATCAAGCATAGAAAGTGCAAAAAGGTAGGATACTTCCCTGTCAACTCATTGAAGCGCGTCACAGACGCTCAAAATTCCTAGCATTACGTACAAAATCACACGTTTTCAATCCACCTGCTTTTTCACGCCTACCGCCATCTTATAGCCAAAATGTATTCCCATGTATCAACGCGTGTAGATAATTGATACGGGAGGCACGTCCCCTGGTGCTCTCTTGAGTATGCCCCTGGTCACAAGTCGCAGGATAGCTTTTTCGAAATGCTCGTGAGCAGGTTAATTCTTAACAGCCACAAAATAAAACAAGCGTACATAAGAGATATTACAGTTCACAATTCACAGATATGACACCAGTGTGAAACCATGCCCAAAGCACCTTCTCATTCTGGTCAGGTTTGAGATGCATAGCTGCATCCCGAGGTGGTGGCTTCCTTCTGCAGCTTACATTGGGAATGGGAGATGAACATGGACAAATTTGCTATACCCACCGCGCGAATAAAGAGAAACGCGTTTTTCCTTACACTTGATCCGCCGTTTTCCGTAACCTATATCGCCCCCCCCCCCCCACAAATGAACAGGGATCAATACCTCTGCGCAAAAATTATATATGCATGTAGACCAGCTGTGCAGACTAATTTACCAGTGCTTTATTACGAGCACTAAATTATCATTATTTACATTCCCAGAATGAGTGCTGCCCTAACCCATGACTGCCGGGAATAAGCGTCTTTGCCGCCAGCTCCACAGACCTCCGAACACGTTTCTTCCCATCCGCGCCTAACCCCAGGGATGCCGCGCGCGCCTGTCACCTGACGCAGACCCATTTATCCTCGAGGCGTGCATGCGCATTTCGAGCAGCTTCCGTGTGGTTGTCATGGAAGTGCATGAGCGCGGGTCGGAACGTCGTGCGGGCTCACGCCTACTTTTCGAAAAACAATCCAGCAGTTTGATTCAACATCCCTGCCGTGCATCGGCATCTAACTTTTCGTACTTTGTTTTTCCCCTTTATGCAAGCTCCGGTCACTGCATAGGCGGAGAGTCCTCAGTACATGGCCAAAGGCATAACAGCGCGGTGCGAAACGAACTGCAAATCGTCGCAAATGTACGATAGCAAAGTGTTTTTTTTTTTCTGTCAGGAACTATACGTCCGAGACGTTGACCAAGAGCTAGTCGACTCCATCACGAACATTCAGTGTTATATTTCGAGTAGCACAACAACATGACCAGTTGCAAAGTCTGGTGCGAAACCAGCGACATGCGCAGCACCCACATGCGCACATCATCGCTTTCACCGCCCGTCCCAGCGCTCACATTATATTGTTGACGGCCTTATTGTTCTGGGACGAGGAGCACGCCTGCCCAGTGTCCTCCTCCTGCGTCTTGTGACACTTCTGCACGTACTGCGGCTCAAGCTGGATCTCCTCGTCCAGCTCCTGCAGGCGACGGCCGAGGCTCATGATCTGCGCCAGCTCCCGCTCCAGCCGCGCCACCATCTCCGGTGCGTTGTACTGTTCCGGGTTGTCGTGGAAGCGCACCATGCCGTCGCGCTGGTCGATGGCCGCGAAAATCTCGCCGTCCTCAATCATACTCAGGATGTACATCTCGGCGCGCTGCGTGCCATTGAGCTGCACGCGGCTGGACACGTCGCTCAGTGACAGCGTCAGGAACGTCTTGGTCAGTCGCTGGATGTTCATTTTGTGGTATGAGGCGACGCACTGCTTGACCAGACCCGTGTTCTGGTCGCGCGCAAACTGCTCCTGGTGTCGCGCCACGACCGCCAGTAGCTGGTCGGGGCTGGGCGAGGCGAAGGCGGTCGCCAGTTCCACGTACGCCGGGCAGAGCGGGCGCAGGCGGCGGGAGATTGTCTGCCGCACCGTCTCGTGGTAACGCAGCTTCTGCGACTGCGGACTCTCCACGCGCAGGATCAGCGACATCAGGATGTGCTTCTTGTACGCTTCAACCATGATGTGGCTGACGGCCAGCGCAGGCACCGTGAAGTACGCCTCGAAGAAGTACATGGCGCGCTCGAACTGCTTCATGGCGGCGTAGATCATGCCCCCGTAGTAGTAGTACAGCAGCAGGTGCTTGGCGTCGAACTTGCCGTTCTCCTTGCTGATGTCGGCAATGTCTACGTCCAGCACATCGAGCGCCGGCCGAAAGCACTTGGCACTGAGTGCCAGCTGGCACAGGTCGGCGTGAATTGAGGTGAGCTGGTTGGGGTTGGCCTGGATCTTGGCGATGGCCTTCCGGAGAACATGCAGTCCCTTCAGCGGTTTGTTGCGTTCGAGCAGCTTCTGCGTGTAGAGGTGGCACAGCTCCGCGTATGAGTCAGGGGCGTATCGAATCTGGTCCACCACACAACCATCCACAAATTCCTCCATCTGTTTATCCAGTACACTCGCGTCGCCTCCACCTGCGGAAAATCTGGCCAGCATTATAGCCAGAATACCAAGGGAGTGGTGCTCTATTTCAAGAGCTGCAAGGGCTGTATCAATGTGACTAACATTCTTCGACAGCAATTCCGCGGAGTTTTCCAGGAACTCATACAAACAGCTGAGGTTCCCTTGCGATGACAGCGTTTTGACACTGTTGACATATGATTCCAGAGGAAATGACATCCTGGATGGCCGATATTCTGCAACAAAAATAAGAACTTGTCATTATTGAGAGCCTGGGCCCCAGTGTCCAGGCAGTAGTCAGATAACTCCCAACAATAAGAATGGTGTATGTGAATACCCTAATCACTCTATGGCACTACCAAGCAATATTTTTTGGTGAGCAGGTGTATGCCAGTGCTGTCAACCGTCAAGGCAAGTGTTGGTATGTAACATTAATGCACTGAGACACCTCACAGATAATCAGATTTTCAACCTGAAAACAAAAACAAAGCAGTTTTTTCAAAATAACTTCAAATTTCTGCATTGTTCCCCGAATTCATCATTCCAATACCACCATGGAATCCATGATTTATTGACACACAGAACAATATACAACCCACTATTGCACAGCACCAATGTGTGGTAGCCCATGACACCTGCCACCTGATTCATTCCTTACATATGCACAACACTCAATAACCAAGGTTTCCTTGTCTTTCTTTCGTCACTGATGCTCCAGTCGTTGTCCAAAAGACCACAACCGAACCTGTGCAGCCTATCTTGAACAAGTATGCATTAAGTTGGCCCATCACATGAAATGACACTATTGTTTGCTCTCTTTGGACATTGTAACACTCAGCTGCTGGGGCTTTCAAGCACTGCCTGCCTTTCACCCTGGCAGGAAGGGCAAGCACCACACACAAAATGATTGAGGCTTTACATGTCATCAGCTACCCAGGCCATTTCAAGATAGCACACCATCATAAGGTATTAGGTGAGATATTGTTGTGCTGCAGGCAGAACCCTAACCTAGAATGAAAGGCTTCAAACATGAGCATGCTGACCATTACACCACCACTGATATGCCTGTCACATAAAATAATGCTTTTGCTGTCATTATATTGAGGCATTATAGCAATCAACTGCTGAGGCTATACAGCACTGCCTGCCTCTCACTCTGACAGGGAGGGCAGGCACATCACACAAAATGATTGGGGCTTTACATCTCACCAACTACCAGGGTCATCTCAAGAACTAACACCATCATTTATCAGTGTATGAGATATAGTTGTGGTGCAGACAGTATCCTAACCTAGAATCAAAATGTTCAAAGATGAGCACAATAACCATTATGCTACCACTGATCTTCCCATCACACATTGTGCTCAACATTACCCTCATGCTTCAAGGAATATGTCAAATGGACTGAAAGCTGGCCTCAACAGAAAGGCCCACTATAATATCTGATGCAGAATACTTTCACTGGCAGTGGTTTGCAGCACCTTAAGGTAATACCACTTAAGGTAACACCTGAGCATCAGCCTACTTCGTAAAGTAAATGATAACGGGCAAAACCACTAGTGGGAACTTCCACTACCTCTTTCTAATATTAAGTCAGAAATATTCCTAAAACGAGCACCAGTACATTGCTGGTGAGTGCATCCATTCAGTTGATGGTGCTTCAAATTGGAACAAAACAAGGCCAGCAAAACCCAACTCCAAGAAGCTTCACAAAAATTTGACTACCAACTAAGTTTAAAAATGTTATTCTATCTAGATGACCAGAAAATCCTAGCTCCAAAACACATCTGTTCAGATCTAAGTGAGCAACTGAAAAATTATACCTTTCTTCTTTGTGCCCCCTGCAATGTCACAGCAAAAAAAAAGACACCATAGAAGCATTACCAAAAAATATTGTGTAGCATGTCAATCATATTTCAAAACAGCATACATCAACCAACACAATCATGGTCATTTGGGAGCCTTCTCTATATCCTACATTTGGGAGATTACGTCGTATCACGTTCTTCCATCATTGTGAACTCCCCTAGATCCACATGAAACATTGCCACGTGTCAACGGCTGTCCGGACTTAGGTACCACCCTGCACACATTTGCCATTTGCAGAGCAATATTTCCCGCAAATACTCCTCCACACATACCGTGCAACCCACGATAGCCTGCGACAGCCCAAAACCATCGACCCAGGGCGACATGTATCAGATGGCACCGTCCCGACTACGCACTTCTCAGCGAAGATTCCTTCGTGACGTCACTGATAGCGCAAGTTAAACGCCGGGACAACGGCACGCGTGGTAGCAGACGTGAGAGGTCGCATGTGTATTACGAGACGTTTGGTGTTTGGAATGTGCTGTAAGGTCAAGGTGAGAACGTATGAATGACTACAATTTTCAGTTATGTCTAATTTTGAAGGTAATGAAAAAAAGTAAAAATAAGGACGATCCGTCGCGTTTTAGTTAAAAAAACGCTCCGTATAAGTAATTACTTGTGACTTCAGAAGCACCAGTTGAAGGTTGGACTCAAAACTGCACCCTGGATTACCAGTTTATTCTGTGCATCACAGCTGCCGCCCTCGGTGGGACCGCCTCCGTAACGCCCAGGCGAATCCATGGAACTTCTGTCCCCCAATTGACATTTAGGGCGCGTTCGGCCAAGGGAAAATTATTCGACGAATAATTATCTCTCCGATAATCACCGGCGGAGATTCTCCATTTTTAATGGGTCAGTCCGGAAATTATCCCCCGGACTAGTCTTCCATGCGCCATCCACAGCCAACAGTCATAGCTATGCATAGCGAAAACAGATTCTCCGTCTTGACCATGCTCTGAAAATTCTCCGCGATTCTCCATCGCTACGGAAAATTATTTGGGATAATTTTCCATGACGGCAGTGCCGAACGCCATTCCGGAGAATTTTTCGGGATTATCTGCCGGCCGAACGCGCCCTTAGATTGGGTCGCAGTCTGGTGGATCACACGACGGAACAAATTGGTCATATCGATGTAGCCTAGGACGGTGTATGAGGAACGATCGGGTATAACGGAGCAAAGAGCTTATAAGGTGTCATAAGCTCTCCGGCCAGTGCTCGCGACCAAAACCTGGTAAAGCACATTCGCGCCGCTCCATCTAATGGGAACAGTCAAGTCATTACACACTGAAGCCTAGGCATTCACAGGAGCTGAGTCCTGACGGGTGCAGTTTTCATGATGCAAAAGGGTACCGTTGGTTTGCTCCACCTTTGCCCAGAAAATACGGGATAAGGCTTGCATGAGCCTTAATCCAAATGCAGTCTAAAAGTGTATCACAATCCACGCTCACAAGCCTTTGGCTTTTCATATTGACTGGAATGGATCAATCGACAACGCCATTCTGTTTGACATAACCAAGCCAGCGTGCTCAGCTGGGACCCATGTGTGTCCCAGATGGACAGTCATATGGGACACATTTGAGCTGCCCGTCTCTGTCCCATGTGGGTATGCCATTGGCAACCATCTGGGTCCCACGTGGCAGCCCACCTGGAGCCATACTTGAATCCATATGGGGCCCACCTGGGCTGCCCAGTTGGGACCCACGTGGACATGCCCAAATGGGTCCCACATGGGCAGCCCACCTGGGGTCCACATGGAGCATGTGACCCTCATGCGGCCCACCTGGACTGCCCAGTTGGGATCCACGTGGGCATGTTCAGCTGGGACCCACACGGCATGCCCAGCTGGGACCCATATAACCAACCCAAATGGAACCCATATGACTAGCTCAGATGGGATCCATATAACCACCCCAGATAGGCTTCAGTTAGGCTTCACCAATCTGCCCTCCCAAATTCTACTTGATTGATGGACCGTCGTTATGCCAAATAGACTGATTCATGTCATCAATAACAAGACAGCCCAAGGTTTATTTACCATGCATTTGTGCAAAAATTGTGTCGGCAACAGCACCGTCACACAGATCATACACTTTTCTGCTGTTATGTTCGGTGCGACGATCACTAAACCATTCAACTGATGCTACGTGTGCCATTGCTGCCGTTGATAGCGCGGCGTTTCCTGTCATCGCCGCAGATTCGAGCCGATATCATTTTTCCTACTTTCCTACTCTTCCTACCTACCTTCTCCGTTTTGTTGCGGTAGCCAACGTATATCACTGTGTTGCGCAGGATGATCCCTGGAATGGTGATATTGAGTGCCTCGGATCACCCCTGCGCGTTACTGCATTGCTGATCAAATCGGACACGTCTGATGTAACAGTTAAAAGTACAAAAAGGTGGAATGCACCATTTAAAGGGAGTCTTCTACGTTTAAATGGGGGTTTGAACTGAAATAGCCGCCTTAACGATTATTCGGTGCAATTCACAGCTTTACCCTTCTTAACATGCGGTCGGGCGGAGGTCAAATTGACCCCCGAAGGTTTTTCCAAAACGATTTCCGAACGGCGCGGCGTAGCGACGCCAACCTGTGCATAGCTATAGAGAATTGAATGGCGGATCTTTTGATGTAAAACTTGCATGCACCTTGCACGGTCGCTGACTTATGGCAGTTCAAATTCAGGCCATAGCTGTCAGCTAGGGGCATTTTTAGGAAATCGTTCATTGTGATCGAACAACGGAGTGTTAGGTGCAGCCATACCTGTCTGAGATAGTTTCGTAGACAATTAACCAATTTAATATACAATTACAGCCAATTACATCGATCTAGTGTCAGACATGAAGGTCAGACGTACCGTGGCGTGGTTAAAACTAGCCTGCTTTTTTAATCGAAAGCTTGGTGTTACGAGGTTAGTTTCTGGAGCTCATTTCTAATTCATTAGTGACAGGGACCTCAACAGACATGCTTCATGGACTTTCCAAAGGTCAGAATGGTTCAATGACCCACAATGATCCAAGTCGGCATATATTGGAACATACCGCCTAGTGTAATCACTGACGCCTACTCGCATGGCGAAATAGGAGCAATCTCGTAGGTATTTGGTCACATTGACCTTATAAAGATAAAACAAGGTCACTGGCCTCATTTGTCTTTTGCTTCAAACAGGTACCTAGCTACACGGCGGCGACATGTGGAGGTTTGGGGATCCATCTGGAGTTTTGCCTTATTTGACCTTACTTTAAACTAACCACTGGGTGAGAAAGGATGCACGATACTGGAGTTTTCGCCCTCCATTTAAATTCGTGACATTGGAGGTTCCGCGAATGCGCCGTTCGTATCAAACACGCCAAGTTAATGAAATGGAATCCTGCCGCGGCCGCGCTAAAGTTAGGTGACGTCAGAGGGCAGAACGGACCGTGCAGAGCATTGTAGCACGTCAAACTTCCGCCAGTAAAGTCTGCCGTTGACCCGGATTTGCACGATCACATGGTTGGGGCCAGGGCTTACGCAAGCACTGCTTAGAGTCAGGTCTGGTCCTAGAAATCCACCCATTCAAACGATTTGGATTAAACATGAAAAACGCACACTCACGTGAACACTTGCAGTAGCCGACTGAGGTGAGTTGGAAATCCATCCTATCCTATGCTATCGGCTCCGGCCCCAGCCCGGCCGGGTCTGGTCCGCGTGCTGGACCGCCTGCCGCCAGCGTAACAGCCAGGGCGCCGTGCCGGCGAGGATGCGACCAAGCATGGGCGAAGGAATTATCGCATAAGTGGGGGGGGGGGGGGAGGGAAGGGGGGCGTTTGAGAGCAGAGTCAATCTCCCAACAACTGAGATAGTTTAGCACTAGGCTTGCGGTGGTACATGGAAAGAAACGCCTCAAATGCTTCTGACTCCGCCTCCTCCCCCCACACCAAAGCTAAGCAGCTTCCCCTGCTCCTGCGACCAAGAGGAAGCACGGGGTGGGTCAGCGCCGGCCCAGGCCAGGGTCAGATCCGGCGGAGTCAGGCACAGCGGGGCGCAATGGATGGAAGGGCGGGTCTGTACCGGTGGACTGCCGGCATTTCCGTTGTGGTGTCCACGAACGGCTTTGTCTGCCACTCGCGGGGTTCGGTGCAAGGAACATAACTTGCCTAAGGGAATCCCTACTCTCATGAAAAGGTGTGCTTAGGGCGTAGCCACTCAGCTGCCGGTTAATACCACGGCTTACTTGCCATAGTTTCGAATTAAGCCATAACGGTGTTAACCAGCAGGCACTGATTGATAAGTCTTGTGCAGCCGTTGGAGGCAACACTAGCGTGAAAATCTGTCACCAGTCACCGCTAGGGCAAAGGTTTTATGACAAAAGTATCAAAAAGTAGTAATGCATTCAGTAAATACATACACAATTTTTTAGTTAACGACTGTGCGTAATATGCATGATGTTAAGTGCGCATGATAAAAGAACGCGCGCAAAAACTATCACCACAGACCTCGTAAGCAAATGTTTGCATGGTATGACGTATGCCCGCAAAATATTTGTTTTTATTGAATGCTGAAGGGTGTCAAAATTCACTAGGTAAACAGCTAGCGTACATAAAGAAAGACACCAAATTTATCTTAAACAACCTCAAGCCCCCAACGCTAGTGACGCAAACATTGCACAAAATGCTGGCAACAATGCTGGTAACGGAAACACGCACATAAAAGCTTGTAACTATATGTTTTTCATTGTCCGCACGCAAAGCACCGCACCAATACGTTTCACAACAAACCGATCACCCGATCACCAAATTATTCACGCCACCTCTCCGCTTTTGCCAGAGTGTTGTGTTTGTGGAGTACTATTAGTCATAGTATCGGTGTTTTGCTCAAAACCTCATAGTTTGGGAAATGTTGGGCTCGCTTCAAACATAATCCAAGAAAACCCTAGAAGCGAACGGCGTTTGTGAAACATCATGCAGGAACGCGAAAGATGCCCTCAGTCTGGACGTGCTGCAGGTCCCAAGTATTCTGCAGGAGCTGGGACGCCTGACGCAGTAGGCGAGCGATCCCCGACGCCAGTTCAGACAGTTAGTTCGGTGCTGGTCATGCGTCAGGCGAACCGCCGAACGTCAGGCGGTCTTGCTCGCATCCCGGTGATAAATTCAGGCCTGAGGATGACAAAAACTCCAACAGTGGCAAACGCAAAGCGCAAACTGCCTGACTACTATGGGCCCGAAAAGTGCAGAGCT